GGGGGCTGGGGGGGAGCCACTGGGTAGGGTGACCAGAGCAAGTGTGATAGATCAGGAGGGGGAGGGGGGAATAGGCGCCTCTGTGAGACAGAGCCCTGGATAGCCAAACTGGTCCTATAAACATGGGTATCTGGTCATCACCCGAAGGCTATGGGACAGGGTGCCAGCCGTGCCCTGTCTGGGTGTCCCAGGCATGAGGGGACCGCGTAGGCGTGCTAGCTGTATGTCCTAGGGATGTTAGTTGTTTAATTTAATAATCGTGGAGCTGCACCAAATGCCTCTGTGAGACAGAGCCCTGGATAGCCAAACTGGTCCTATAAACATGGGTATCTGGTCATCACCCGAAGGCTATGGGACAGGGTGCCAGCCGTGCCCTGTCTGGGTGTCCCAGGCATGAGGGGACCGCGTAGGCGTGCTAGCTGTATGTCCTAGGGATGTTAGTTGTTTAATTTAATAATCGTGGAGCTGCACCAAATCTTATAGTTACATGGTTATTTGATGGTCGCTGGGGCATGTGTTGTCATTTGGATTAATTTATAAACCCAGGTTTATCGGTTAATCATTTATATGGCTATACACTAACATTCCTAGTATATATCCAGCAGGGGGAGGAATGCAGGACAGGGTGTGCATTCAGCAGCATGAGAGTTGTGCCACAGGGATATGGTGTGCAACTTATGCCATGTGATGGCCTGCCAGCAGCATGGCAGCTGTGTCACTCAGCAGGCAGCAGTGTGTGCCACTGGAAGCATGTTGGCATTTCACATGCTGCTGCTCAGCAAGAGCAAAGGTGTATCAGCTGCGACGTTGAGCAGGGTGGCAGTGTATCAGTCATAGCCACCTAGGGGAATGTGGATGGGAAGAGGGTATACGTGCTGTGTCCTTAGGGAGCATGCCAGCTGTGAACCTCTCTGTGTCAGTGATATGCTAGCTGTGCCACACGCCAGCATTGATATTCTGGGTAGAGCAAATTTTGGGTGATGTAAAACTTCGATAACTGCCCCTATGTCACCCACATGTTGGTTGTTGATGTAGGGGCATGGTCAGGGAGAAGGAGACATGTATGGGGATCTTGCTGGCCACTGACAGCCAGCATAGATCTTTTTGAGATGCACAAATGAAAAGTGCTATTTAACAGGTGGTGGGCTCTAATTTGTGCCATGAACTGGACCAGCATTACAGGCTCCATCACAGGGACAGTACAAAAGTGGATTAAATACATCTAGTTTCAAACCTTAAAATTCACAGCATATTTAATATGTGTGAATTCCTTGAGGATTGTTTTTCCTCTTCTTTCCCCCTTGTGTAATCATTTACAGGTTACAAAATGGGTGTGCCTGATCAGAATGTTAGCCTTTTACACTCATTTTGAACTCGTGAAAATGAAAACAGAAGGGGCAAAGCAGTGGCGAACCTGACTGTTTAGTGTTCATTGATACACAAGAATAAACAGAAGTTCCTGATTTCCACCCTTCTTCCTATTCCCTCCTCACTACAGCTAAGAACAGTGTGAAATCACGTGAACACCATGCCCTAGAAATTGATGGCAAAAATCTGAAGATACTTATTCAGGCAGATTCAGAGGTAGAGGATCCTAGAGAAAGTCAGCCTACAACACAATCCCTGGGCCTGACTAGCACCTCACAGCTTCAGAAGAAATCTGACAAGAAACAGCTTGGGGAAAAACATGATGCCAGTTCATCTTCTGGAGCATTTACTGAAAAGGTATGTTTACTATAAAATAGAAAACAATAATTCACCAGGCTCTCAAGGCCCCTTGAATTACACATGTACAGCTCTGCATCCATACACTTGTTGGAGAGAGAGAGCTCATTTCACCTAGCCCAGTGGTGGGCAACCCGCGGCTC